CATTTATCTTAATGTTATCATATAGAAAATGTCCAAGATGAGGAAAGAAAAGGAAATTGAATTGTTCGAGTGAGTATTTTTCACGAGTGCAACACGTTGAGCGATGTGGTTTAGTCGGGGACCCGGGGTGAAAAATTTCACACTTTCAATTTAACTTTTTTTCATTTTTGCAAAAGGTGTGGCGATAATATATGACTCAATATTATTACAAAACCAAGAAGGTTGGAATTCACCCATGCTTTACCCAATTATCTATAGCTGAACAGTACCTACAATCTTAAATTTGGGAATCTTGGGGACACGAACTGATAGGTTCTGGAAATTTGTTACGGTATATACGCGGACTGAAATTGAGAACACTAATTTTAACATCACTGTCTGGTATAGTAAACTTAACTCTAATGAATAAATACGTGTATTTTAATATGCAGTATTACTGAATGTATAACCTGGAATTCAGTTTTTATTCAGTTTTTAAAACTTGTTGCAGTATAAAAACTGAATTCCAGGTTATACATTCAGTAATACTGCATATTAAAATATACGTATTTATACATTAGAGTTAAGTTTACTATACCAGACAGTATGTTAAAACTAGTGTTCTCAATTTCAGTCCGCGTATACCGTAACAAATTTTCCGAATCTATCAGTTCGCGTCCTTATATTTTCCCCAAGATTCCTAGATTTAAGATTGTACATGCAGTACTGTCCAGCTATGGATAATTGGGTAAAGTGGGTGAATTCTAACTTTCTCGGCTTTGGCGGTGCAATCTGCTTTGACGGCAATGATAACTATAAATCGTTCAATAAACCGGGTAACTATACACTGGAAAATTTTTTGAAAATCCATAGAATGGAAATCGTATGGACCTATATTGGAAATAGAATGGATTTTTGATTATCCATAATATTTGTATATTTCCATATATACTATGGATATTGTATCGAAATAGTATGGATAATGGATATACTATGGATTTAGTGGTGCAATTTGAAATGTATGTATGTATTTCACTTTTTTTCCCTACATGCAGTGACTAACTTTCTGGTAAACCGCTTCAGCAATATGTATTGGCGCCAATGGGTAATCACACATCAGTGCTCCTTGCAGAACACTTCAAGAGCATAATATACTGAGAGGGTGCGAAGTAAACTTGTATAATAAAAATGAAATAAATAGAGGATATTACACGGCGACGCGGAAATACCAGATTTATTTCTCGTGTTGAACATGATATCTCACGAGTGAGCGCAGCGAACGAGTGAGATATCATGTTCAACACGAGAAATAAATCTGGTATTTCCAAGCACCCATGTACTTTTCTGTTTATTATATAAACAAAATTCAGTGAAAAACAATGAATCGTTCGTGGCAATGTGTTTTACAACAAATGATATTTTCACACCTAAAAATATCGTATTTTTTACGTGTGTTTAAATACGATTTTTCTCAGTGGCCAAAAACTCTATATAACACTTAAGTTTATATAATAAATATTGTTATGTTTCAGGCAATTTCAAGAACATACTGAAAAGATGCGCAGTAAACTTGCAGTTGAAATGAAACAAAAAGTTAATGATGAAGATGATCGTCTAGCTAAAGCTGTGGCTGAACGAGACGACAAGTTGGCGAAAGAAGAACAGGCTAAACAAGAAAAAGAATTGCTCACAAAAAAATCGATTCATCAACACAGAATAGACAAAGTAAGTACATTAATATGCCTTGGAATTATATATTATATGCCTTGGAATTTTTAACAGATAGTTTCAAAGCAAAGTTTCTACGGAGTTACCCAACCGTTATTGCCATTGCTGTAACATTAGTAAATCATCTGATTTACAACCAACTCCTCGACTCAAATATTTGAACTTTCTAACCAGATCCACGTGAAATCCATTATCTTCACAATTTAGACAAAAGATAGAGAGAAAAAACTCCGAGAGGATCTTGAAAATGATAAACATCTCTTGAAGCTTCGAGTAGAATCTGATAAAAAGGTTAGTTTCTCGTATTCGTTTTTAGTTGTTCTCCAACTCCTTTATGGATACTTTCCACTATTAAGCGCAACAGGCTTTATAAGGATAGAAGGCTGCGGATTGATAGGGATACAACTACCTGAAAAATATGAGGAGAACTTCGACGTTCCGAGCGAATTAAATCGAAGGCCCCGATTATTTATTCCCGGAGAAAGTTTACATGCACGATGCAACCTTTCGACATTATATTCCAGTGTAGTGATTTCATCAGAGGTGATCGGAAATCATGTGGCTCTTTAACCCTAGGGATGACCTTATAGTACCCCCAACTTGATCAATTAAGATACTCTTGCATGTGGGAGATAGCTCCATGCAATGCTGTCCTCAAGTATCCTAACACCTCAGGCGGTTTGCGCATAACGACCGCTAAGCATAATGGTAGAAAGTAGACATCGCTTCATTTGCATTTTCAGCGCATAGTCTTCGTCAGCACTCAAAATCGTTCAATCGTGTTTGTGTAATAAATTCATGAAACTTTAAACGCTTCGTGTATCCAATACACCACCACACGTTGTTTGCGTGTAGTCGGCGTGTACAGTAGAAAATGAGGATATGCGGTTTCAGAAATATTCCCCGAAAAGCCCATAATTTATTGCGTGTATTTATTGTGCGTATATTTATTGTACACAATAATACCATGCAATATTGTATACATACAAATCTTAGTGCGAAATATCATTTGAGAGTTGAACCGTCAACTAATGTTAATTTGACAATATTGTACGTCCAACAGTCGACGATTCACGGCTCAAAATTAGTTTACAGTAGAAACTAAACTTGCGCTGGTACCTTGCCTGCCTCGTAACCAGGCGCTATGTATTGTTGCTATGGCTCGCGTGGCCTTTGCGTGCTTTTACGTTTTTCCTCTTTTCCATCATTCACATTCACAACATGATGATCCACGGTCTATGTACCACACTTCATGTAATACACGCCATAACGTCCGATTGTTGCTGCACGGTCATGAAAATGTTCCCACACAATCGCATATTTTGGTTGACACATAGTCTGCCAATGTCGATTTTTCTTTGACGTTCAAATTTGAATTAGCTCTTTGGCAACTGGCTTTTGTTTTTGGTAGCTGTCTGTACTCAGGAAATTGATGTGTGATGTATAGCATATTTTTTATCTAGCAATATAATTAATTACATATATTGTTTACTTCATAGTATCAAAAAGAAGAAGAAATTAAGCTATCCATGCAACGTGGTTATGCTAAAAAGTTAAAAAACGTACACGAGGAACAAATGGTATGAATATTTTTTATGTTTGTTAGTTATGTGTGTACTGGATATCTAAATCCTGGTTTTTCATTAATTTGAAAAAATCGAGATTGTTTTTCCTTCGTGCTCATCATATTCAATATTACAGTAGCTACGTGTTTTATACAACCAGGTCCAGACTTATTACTTGCAAATTCACTGGTTTAGTACAGTATATCTTTGTTCGCTGGAGACCTCGTTTTCACTAGAGCAAAAGATTCCGGATTCACTAAAATTTCCAGATCCGAGTGTACCTGTACCGCTGTACGTTTACACTGCAACAGTGTGAAGACAGATTTTGGATAGCAGCGTTTACATTAGACGAATAACAAACAAAAACTTTCTATAAATTCATGCAGTAGTCGGATTAGTGTAAAGTAAAAGTAGTATACATGCACATAGGTACAAATAAGCGAAGAAAGTACCTACTGCCACCAGAAAAGGTCGCGGATTCGTTGAGGTCACCATTTTCTCGGAATCAAATGTTTCCGGAAATAAGGTTTCTACTTCTTTTCTGGATAAAAATTTTCCGGATACGGCTGATTCCATATCGGATCTGCCGCTGCGTGTGTAAACGACAACATAAATCCGGCATTAAATAAAACGTTTCCGGAATCTTTTGAGTATTAGAATTGAAGAATAGCCTGATTAGGGGAACTTAGCTATATAACAAGGGATTTTTAATCGTCAAATACATTGAAACTGCGATATAATGTAATTATGTGTTGTAGAATGAAAAGGTGGATCGCAAGAATGGACAAGTGAAGGAGAATTTAAATTTTGATCATGAAAATGCAAGACTGATGGCAGAAGAAGAAGCTTACTTCCAAGAGTACGCCAACAAAGTTTTGAGTGAACAAAAAATCAAGGATCCCTCTGGTAATCATTTTCCATTAATCAAAGCAGCTGACGAAGGTCCTGGAGGAGGGTGTGGCCCGAAGTTTGAGGGCAAGAGTGGATACCGTCCTAGTTATATAGTATGCGACAGTACTGGTGTACAGTTACCTAATTACTCTCAGGACACTGCAGCACGCTGTAAAATACAAGGACGTCCTGGTCAATCATTCAAACGGCTTGGTTTTAACTGGTGAAAATACCTAACAATGACTGTAATGAAGTAAATATCTGTAAATAAACTTGATGTACATCATTCTTTAAATAGCTTGGAAATGTCTATATGTTTCTTCTTTTTTCACTAACAGTGGTGGTTTTGGGTAAGCGAGACAGTGCAACAGATGATGGTCAACAGATGTGTTGACACTCCTTGAAGCGAGAAATTTAGTTTATCTCTTGTTTTCCTTCCAATACAGGTCTGTTCATTTGCTGCCCGTATAATGGTGCGTAGTGAAACCTACCTAATATAGGAACTGAAAACATTACGCCTGTAGATTATTTTTATGTGGAGGTAAATATAGCTTAAGGCCGTTTTCCACGAGGCGGAATTTTCCGCGCGGAGCGGAATATTTCTTTGTCTTGTGATTTCTCGGGTCTAATGAATTTGAATTTGTACTCGAGTAAAGTGTAGAATTAATTAACAATAAAACGACTTGAGTAAGAGTAAAACGTACTTAAGTAAAAAGTACAAAGTATCCATAAAAAATACTTGAAGTAAAAAGTAAAAGTACTATTGTCTGTAGCGTGTAGGGGGGCGGGGGACTTCTCCAATGGATTGACATACAAAAGACACAAAACAGACCTAATAATAATATACAATAAGTTCACGGCATGGATATGGTCTACTTTCCAGACGCCGTTGAAGATATAAGAAATCCATTAAATAAATAATGCTTATAAGTAAGCCACAAATGAGAGATCCCAGACGCATGTAGAGGTCCTATTACTATCCCAAACCGTAGAATAAACCAGGAATAAATCACGTAAAATTAAACAAAAGTTAGAAAGTAACGAAATACTTCGCCACAAAATGAAAATAACGAAGTAAAATGTTACTTCTTAATTAAATTAAAACGACTTCGTTCCAAGTAAAAGTACTATAAATATTTATATATTTATATTCCGTTGCACTTTTGACTTTATACGTTCGCTAATACAAACGGCATTCCACAAATTTAACAATCAGTAAGGTTTGTTACATGCTGACTTTTCAAAAATAGCGCTCGAGTACAGTAATGAAGTACATTTACTTCGTTAATACTTGACACCACTGACTGTAGGTCGACTGAATCTTCAGTAATGTATTTGCATGGTATGTTATACAAATAATGAATGTTTATGAGTGCAATGGTAAGAATATTTTCATGAGGTGAATGAAAATATTCTTACCATTGCACGAATAAAAACATTCATTATTTGTTTTATATAATACCAGAATAGACTAATATTAAAAGGTTTACTGTAAGCTCCCGCCATTTTGACGAGTCGTATTTGCATTTAAACCATCACTGAGTTTCGAATATCGGGTTAAAATAAATTGCGATCACCGTACGAGAAGCATTTTGACGGATGCGATTTATCGAAAACACAAAGAGTGCAATGGAATAAAACGTATAGTACAATTGCACTCACAAGAGTGCAATGGAACGTATTCCATTGCACTCTTGGGAAATGGAATTTTCTATTCAATATCACGTGACCATAAACAGCCAATTAAACGATCAGAATTCAATAAGGTATTATATAATATACAAATAATGAATGTTTATGAGTGCAATGGTAAGAATATTTTCATGAGGTGAAAGATGGAATGTTCCATTCAACGAGGCGACAGCCGAGTTGAATGGAACATTCCATCTTTCACCGAATGAAAATATTCTTACCATTGCACGAATAAAAACATTCATTATTTCTGTGTTGGTGTAATGTACTCAGGTGAATATGATGCTTGTGATGTTACTCTGAGTGTATATCCACACCGGGCAAGCTTGAAAAATATGCCTGACCACGGTGGGAATCGAACCTACGACCTTTGGAATACTAGCCCAATGAGGCTAGTATTCCATTGCACTCTTGGGAAATGGAATTTTCTATTCAATATCACGTGACCATAAACAGCCAATTAAACGTTCAGAATTCAATAAGGTATTATATAATTATGTAAATACCACAACTTAGTCACTAACTTGTTTAGCCCAAGCCAGTTCTAAGAACCCAAATCTATAAGGTCTGGGATATGCTATCCACTGGGATAAGGTATTTACAACAATGCAGTAGCATTTTTGAAATGACATTGAATCATTTGAAATTATATAATACCTTATTGAATTCTGATCGTTTAATTGGCTGTTTATGGTCACGTGATATTGAATAGAAAATTCCATTTCCCAAGAGTGCAATGGAATACTAGCCTCATTGGGCTAGTATTCCAAAGGTCGTAGGTTCGATTCCCACCGTGGTCAGGCATATTTTTCAAGCTTGCCCGGTGTGGATATACACTCAGAGTAACATCACAAGCATCATATTCACCTGAGTACATTACACCAACACAGAAATAATGAATGTTTTTATTCGTGCAATGGTAAGAATATTTTCAATCGGTGAAAGATGGAATGTTCCATTCAACTCGGCTGTCGCCTCGTTGAATGGAACATTCCATCTTTCACCTCATGAAAATATTCTTACCATTGCACTCATAAACATTCATTATTTGTATACTAAGTCGTGTTTACACTACAAGCCTTGGCCTATAGCCTTGGCCTATAGCCTTGGCCAGACCAAGGTAAATGTGGCGCGTTTACAACCATTACACTGGCATTTTGAGACTGGCTCACTTTGGCCTAGAATTTTGTCAGTTAATTTTGTGTATTTTTATGTGTTGTGCCGTTTTCCGCTGGTTGGCCGCTAATCTCTCACTGCGGGCACACGTTGCCATGGACATGAGGTCAGGCCAGGGCCGAACGTGTTTTCATTTCCACAACTAAGCCTAAGCTATAGGTTGTAGCGAGTCCAGCTTTCCTGGCCTAGGTCAGGCCAAGGTCTGTTTACACTGTCAAAATGTAGGCCAAGCCAAGGCTAGTAGTAGTGTAAACACGACTCTAGTTATATTGTATAGTGGGTGCATGTACAGGGTGTCTAAGAAAAAGACATTAATCCAACTTCAGCATGCCATTATGCGTTAATTACTTGGTGTATGAACGTAATTATTTTACAATCGTAAAAATCAGGCTGTTGGCTGTTGAATGACATGTTTTTCATCCATTATAGAGAACAATTGAGCAAATACGAGTCCGATAAAAATTATTTGTCGAAGTGCATATTCTTACCGTTGCGAATTACGACTTAAGTTGATGAATTTCACTTCAAGAAAATACAATGCATAATTATTATAAACGTCTTGTAAACCAGCTCTGACTGAGCTCATTGTTAAAATGACACATTCGTGATTAATTGCTTTTCTTTTGTTATACAGGGTGTCTCAAAAAAAACCAAAATCATTGAAATAACGTATTGTTCGAATTTCAATGCCGTAACACAAAGGATTTTGACAGGGTGATTAATTTGTTTTAAAAAATTAAAATATCTTTGTAAAGTGAACGCTTGTTTGCTCATGGGAATTTAAAAATGCTTCGTAAATTGTAATATGCGTAATATGCATTCGTGGGTTTAGTACTTTATGCCTGACATAACAAGTTTACGCTGAGTATTACCATTCATTATAGCAGTTATGTCAATCTCTTATGCACTCGTGGGATTAACTTAGTGCTAGGGCATTGAATATCGAACAATACGTCAATTTCAATGATTTTGGGTTTTTTTGAGACACCCTGTATAAATAAAACCAATACGTGTTATTGTTATAAGCACAAGTCTTTAAGCCCCAGGGAATTTTCAACCTATTGTATGTCAAGTCTTTCGTAATTAGTCATACAGTATCTCAGTAGTTCGATTATAATTCTGTTTTACCATAGACAATCCAGAAGACATACATACAAGCAAAAAAGTTAGTACTGTTAGAAGATTTATAATTGTATATATATATATATATATATATATATATATATATATATATATATATATATATATATATATATATATATATATATATATATATATATATATATATATATATATACCGGATGTGTATAAAACACATATATATTACACATATATACATAATATATATATATATATATATATTAAGTATACTTTATAACTGTACGTTCACTGTGCTGGCCAATTTACTAATTTCCACCCAAGAAAGAATAATTTAAAAATGAAAATTAAAGCCCAATCAATGAATTTCAGGCAAGACATAACAAAAATATAAAATTTATTGGCTAACGTTTTGTTGTATTGTTCACATCATCTTCAGAGCAATAATTGTTGCAATATATTTCGCTAATTTGGGATTATTTTCTAATTTAACTGCAGTTTTAATTTAAATTCAGCCGTTTAGTGGGCCAGCTATAATTGTAGTTGTGATCGTTATAAAATATATCAACAACAATAGTATAATCTAATTAGCACCAGCCAATCAAATGACAGATTTAAAAAATCGTTTGTCTAATCGGCCAATCAGACGAAAAAGCCAGAATCTGGCTTTTTACATGCGCCGCGGTAAAGAATTAGAATGAGTGTATCTAAAAGTCGAGAGTCGAGAGTAAAGGTCGAGAGTAACCTGAGTATCAGGCCGTACTCAGGTTAGGTCGAGAGTCGAGAGTAAAAGTCGAGAGTCGAGAGTAAAAGTCGAGAGTCGAGAGTAATTATAAAAGTCGAGAGTAAAAAGTCGAGAGTCGAGAGTAAAAAGTCGAGAGTCGGCAGCAAAAAGTCGAGAGTCGACAGCAAAAGTCGAGAGTCGACAAAATCACAAAAATGTCATCAGATAGAAACAACAAAGTCAAAATATTTTTTAAAATATTTTTTATTCTGTAACAACGGCTGAACTACAAACTTTCGCATAAATATAGCTACAATAACAGTCAATAATAAAAACGTGAACAAAAAAGACTGGATAGTGGATACGAAACTAATCAGTATCACATGTGATGCTTTATTTTTCATCTTGCTAAATTTTTAAACATGTCATTTCATCAAATTTTGCTCCCTTTCAATGTAGACACATAAACGGAATTTTGACAGCCAGCTCGGGCTTGTAACCTCGCTTGTATAAACTACTGTCGCTTACAACTAAGGATGAACAGTCGCAAATAAAACATTGTCTATTCTCATGACAAAGTTCAATGTTTTTACCGGGAAACTCAGTGCCTTTTTTAACTATATATCTGGGGGGGGGGCAATTGCTCCCCAGGGAAAGAATTCCCCCCCCCCAGTAAAGCCATTTCTGCCCCCGAAGTGCGAAGCAGAATTGCTCATGATTGCTGTCAGAATTGCAGTTGATTTACTTGATAATGAGATTATGCCCTTTCATAGCCCCCTCCACAGCCATCTTGTGTGTAATTCATATTGTTCTTCACCGAGTATTTCATAATAGCGATAGATTTCATGCAAACAATCCGATAAAATGCTGGTTCCAAGAAGAATAGATTTAGTTTAGATTTTTAACTGTTAAATACATGTATGCACCATCATAGCATGAATATTTCTTCTCAGATTTATTCTGTATCGTATGAAAAAGCAACGCAATTTTGAGAATGCGGAAAT